ATCCGTACTACACTCAAAGTCAGCAAAGAAAACGTGCTCAGGTATGAACTTACATTTAGCTTTATTTACTTCTTTTGACTCTGCTTTCTTCTTCAGTTGTACACAATACTTTGGAGCATATGTCAAATCTTTAAATGGTGCAAGGTTCTGTTTATATAAGTCAGTCGTATATGTGAAAAGTTCTCCATAAGAAATAGGTTCAAAATATTTGCACTCCCACAATGTTTTCATAACATCCCATAGCGGTGTGTTCTATCCATGCGAACTACATATTTATCTTCTCTCTTTGTATATATTTCATCTGTTTTTCAATGTTCATTCCACCACACTCCTTCAAGATTTCTATATAGTTTCGAATGAAATATGTTGTCATTGGAAGTCTTTCATTTAGCATGTAGTGGTCTTCAACAAGAAGTAAGTCAATAGTTCGAACAGTTTCACATTCTTTTGGTATGTATCTCTTTATTTCATTATGTCTTGAGTCATTGAAGTAACCAATGGTAACATTAAATGCTATACCTGTTGCGTCAGAAATTTCTTGTACTTTACTTTGAGGAAAGTCTCTAACACGAATGACTTCTCTCATGTGGTCAATAGTTTCTTCATTTACTCCAGCCTGAATGCAAGCATAAACGAACAATTGTCTCTGTCATAAGTGTTGCAGTTCTTTTGTTCAGTTCATTGAAGATTTGGTAGCGTTCAAGATTTATAGGTAATGTGCAAAGATACTTCCAGAACTGACCGCTTCTCTTCTTATAAAACTTCTTTTCACCATTATCTTTCCAAAAGCTTTCTATAAGTGCTGGGTTTCCTGTTTGCTTAAGAGCTTCCAAAATGGCTTTCTGGTCATTTGTCAGTGTGCTTTCATCTCTATATGGTCTCTTTTTTGGTTTGCCTTTCTTTACATCTGACATCGTTAAGCCTTCATATTCTGTTAAATCATACATCTTTATTTCAGTAAGATTCTTTATGTTTGTCAAGAAGAAGTCATAGTGCATTTCAACAATACCTGCAGCATTTGCTTCTATCTCTGATATAAAGTTCTCCTTCAAGAGCTGATGTAGTAATGTTCCAATATTATTGAGGTTTAACGTAGAACATTCATACTTTCCACCAAGTTTATAACATACCATCCATCTCTGTTGGGAGTTTATTTTAATTTTCTCTAAGAGTCTCATGAAAACCTTACCGAAATGTTTGTGTAAGTAGTCTCTGTTTGGTTCATCTAAAGCTTCGATGTTAAAGTCAATGAGTCTATTGCCTGACTTCACATTCCTCTTCCTATTTTCTTCATCTTTCTTTAACCATCTCTCACCTTCTTTTGGTTTGTCGTCAATGGAACGAATGACATTATTAGCTTTGCGAACTTGTTCTATAGCACTTTTAAACATCTCTCTTCTCTGTTGTTTCAGTGTGTCATCTCTCTTTCGTGTTTCACCAACGTTTGCATTTGTTATGTCAAACATTTCTCTTCTTACTTCATGTGGTACAGCTCTTCTTGTTTCACCAACGTTTGCATTTGTTATGTCAAACATCTCTTGACGAACGTCATGTGAAAGAGCTTTACGAGTATGACCAACGTTTGCATTTGTTATGTCAAACATTTCTCTTCTTACTTCATGAGGTATTGAACGTCTATGATATAAGTCAATAGCAACGTCATTTAAAGGAAATGCTCTTGCATGGACTTCGTCCTCGCCGCGTTGCGGCTTTATGAACTCATGAATTCTATCATAAGTTATTTCACCATTATAGTCATTGAGGATGTCAGCGAGTGCCTTTTTGTTTGTTGTGTAATGCTTTGCAACATCTATATTAGCTTCTGTAAGAAGTTGTTTTATTTCCGAGTGTTCTAACTTAGACAACTTCCGATACATCTTTAGTAGGAAATAAAAAAAATATTTTTTGAAAAAATAAACTTAGAAAAATTATTTCTTTCTATATTTGCCATTCCGAACTTCGAAAAGATGTTTTATACCAGCATAGAATTTTTCTCTAGAGCTTGGTCTTATATTGTTTTCATGACAATATTTTCTATATTCTTCATATAAAGCCTTTTTTTCATACATTTCATAAGGACAATCTAACCAGAATAGTGCATATCCAGTTTCGTTATCTAGGTCTCTATATGTTTCTTCTGTTTGTAGAATTTCGCTTTCTTCTATTTGTAGAATTTCGCTTTCTCTATTTAGTTCTATGACTATATATTGTGGCTTAAAAAGATGTGGGCAAGAAGGGTCTGGCGCTATGTAAAAAGTTAATTTTTCTGTCATCTTTTCTATCGGATAAAAAATATTTTTTGAAAAAATTAGATTAGATTTTTTTAAGTTATTTTTCAAAATAATTTAATATTTTTATTTTAATGAAACACATGCAAGATTGCAAGTTCTTTTCATACAATGCTCTCGCTACTGTCATCAAGAATGAGTTCAATAATGCTTCAAACGTCAATGTTATCTTTAACAAGAAGTTTGTGAAAGAATCTAAGTTTGGTCAGTATGTCAGACCATTAGCTATTGTCATTGACCGCAAACGTTATACTTCACAAGAGTTAGCAGTAGTTTTGAAACAAAAGGGTTTCTTCGTGAATGTCAAAGATACTCATTATACTATTATAAAGAACTCCAACATTGACTTCTTCAGTATTGCTATGAATCTTTCCGAACAGAAAGAATATAAGAAGGGTGAAACAAATGTGAAATATTATTCTTCATCTCTGAAAACAATAACGAACAAAGATGTTATACAAAAGTTCTTACCAAAGGTTGAAGAAGCTTCTATTGACATTGACGAAGGAAGTGAAATGGTTGAAGAAATTGACCCTGACGTCATTTAAGCAAAAATATATTTTTGGTTAGTCTTCATATCGATATTTTACAACAATTCCCCAATGTATAAACTTTTCATACGCTTTTTCATAAGCTTTATATACCTTCAGAAATTTTGCATAATCTTTAGAAGCATTTAGATATTGTTTAAATGCTTTGTATGTCTTCAGAAATTTTGCATAATCTTTTACATGTTGTTCGTTCTCTTCTTCTGTCATGAGTTCCGAATATTCTAAATTCATGTTCTTTCATATGAGATAAAATTTTATAAAAAAATAAAATTAGCTTAGATTTTTTTATTCTTCCTCTTTGAAGTTATCGAAATATTCTGTTATTTTTTCCTTCAGTAATGTTAAGTCTTCTTTGAATGTAAGTATTGTGCAACCTTTGATGTCATAGTGTGTTTGAGGAAGAGTATTTTTGACAATTTCCTTTATTTGCTCATTCGGTGTCATTGAAATCGGTAAGTTTTCACGATAGAACCAGTTTCTGTCAGATTTGTAAATCTTAGCAAGGTCATAAAAGCTTTTGTTGTTTCTTCTGACTAAATGCAACATAACCATATCTTTATCTTCTTCTTTCTCCAACTCTTCAGTATATATCATATACTTATAACTCTTTTCCTTTCCTTTTGGTACTGAACGTGGTATTCTTTTCTGTATGCTTTTGTCTTTGGATTCAATGACTTCATCTTTTGCTTGAAGTTTCTTTTCCATCTCTCCACGTTCTTGTCTATGAATTTCGTCAAGAAGTCTGTAAACATGCCATGCATAACGAGGAGAAGCCCACATTGCAACTGCATTTACTAAAAGTCTATGAACATAATAACCTCTTAAATTTATTGGCAAATTTTTACGATTTTCATGTGTTTTATGCAAGACCGAAAAAAGTCGGTCTAGAGAAATTTCACTCAAAAGTTCTTGTGTGCTTTGGTTTTTGAACCAGTCGTCTGCGTGTTTAGTGTCTGGAGCAAAACATGCTGTCAAAATACTTTGCATTTGGTACATATCGTCTTTGACCGAACGAATGAGACGGAGTTGTTTGTTAAACTGAACCCACTCGTATTCTTCATTTATGGCTTCATGAACGATAGCAGTTGTTGTGTTCTCTGTTGTTGACATATCTGTCCTTACATACAAAATAAAAAAATAAATAAAAATAAAACTAACTTTATTTTTCTGTGTTAAAGAAATGTTAAAAATTCAGGGTTCAAAACTGAATATCATATAACCTCTTGAAAACGTTTAAACGAACTTGAACTTTCTTTCCTTCAGTATCCGTCAAAGTAACATATGCAATTCCTGATTTTAGGAAACAAACATGCATTTTTCTATAGTTAACTCCTGTATAATAATAGAACGAATCTTCCTTTTCGGAATAATAGTAGAACTCTAAGTCATGCTTTCCATAAGAGTTTATTTCAATTGCTTCATCGTCTAGTTCATCGAAATATTCACAAGATAATTTACCATAACTACTTCTGTTCTTATGATTTTCTGAGCGACTAACCCAACGTAAATTTTGAAGTCTATTGTCGTCTCTTTGATGGTTTATATGGTCCACACACGGTAAATTGTTCGGATTGGAAATAAAATGAGTAGCTATGAGAACATGTTTTTGGTACTTTTTGAGGTTTAATGTTACACAAATATAACCTGTTCCTCTGTTATATTCATGTATAATTCTCTTGGTTTCTTTCTTCCTTATTTCAAAAGGCTCAGAACAGTGAATTTCATACTCTTCATCTTGTAAACATTCTTTCCATACATCTTGACCAACAAGTTCAGCGTACATCTGTCTTTACATACAAAATAAAAAATAAATAAAAATAAAACTAACGTTATTTTTAAAATTTGTGAAAACTCAACGGTTTGACACGTGCCATATGTCATTTTACTCAGAATTTTGTGCTGAATTCAGCAAAAATAATGTTTATGTTAGCATGTTAGATCTAACACGTTTTCTAACCTCTTTTCTAACATAACTATTTACAAGCGTTTTACATGGTATATGTTGCGATGGTTCATGACTTTAAACAGTTTTGTAGCTTCTATTTCTTCTTTTAGTACATCGAATGTTTTAACAATGCCGAAGGTTTCTTTATATTTCTTCTTGACGTCAGATAGAAGGAAATCGTCAGCAGTTGGATAATTTTTGTTCAGAAATGCTAACATGTCCATTTTATCTTCTGCTGGCTTTTCTACTTCTTTCTTTAAATCTGCATAGTCGTTTCTCATTCTTTCTATCTCTTTGACGGAGTAGTTATATTTCCTCATCGCTGCCTTACATTTTGAACATTGCGGGTTCATTTTTGCGTTATACATTGAAATTTGACCTGCTAAAACAACTAAGGCGTCAATTGCTCTCTTCATCTCAAACATAGCGGGTCTTAGTTGTTCGTTCCATACTTTGCCTCTTCTATCTTTATCTCTTATTTCCCAAACACATTCAGCAACTAATGAAACAAAGTTATCGTAGGTCTTAAATTCTTCAGATTTATATATGTCAGAAACATTCTTATAAACCATGTCGCAATCTTTGTCCATAACTTTATGGTTGCAATGAAAACCAAGGAATTCATAATTTACTTTACGTATGAACTTCTTTATTTCTACTGAGTCAGTTGTTTTGACTTCAATTTCGTCGAATTCAGGAATAGTTAGTTTTTGTTGTTGGATTTCAGGCAATTTGGGTAAATGGTCAATAATGTCCTGCATTTCATAAAGATACTGTTCATTTGTTTCATCTTTCGCACTACAGTCTAAATTACTTGTTAAAAGTTCTTGCTTTATCTTCTGGATTTTTGTTTCGAAAGTATATGAAGAAGGAATGAAGCTTTTCATCTCTACTAACATAGATGTTGGATTCATGACTAACGAGTTTGGTGCTGTAGTTTGAATTGTTGTTGTGCCGATTGTTGAAATCATATCTTTACATACAAGATAAAAATTTTTCTTAGAAAAAAATTAGCGTTATTTTTCTTTCATAAGGAAATGTCAAAAATTCATGATTTTCGAGAGTTTTAGACCATGTTAGAAAAGTGGTTAGAAAACGTGTTAGATCTAACATTCTAACATAAACATTATTTTTTGGTGTAAATAAATGGTACCATTAATGATATCATGACTGTTCTCATTCATGTCTGATTTACATCTAATGAAAAAGTTTAGAAGAATTTTCTTATTCTTTCTGGCATATTTTTGTCTTTCCAGTACTCCCGCTCTAATGGTCCCAGATGTGTTGGCTTTGACTCTCTCAAGTTCTTAGATGGTATAACATCTTCAACACCTCCTTCATATCTTACTTTATAAGTGTCATCGTTTATGTTGTAGCCAAGTATTTCAATAACCACTCCTCGCTTTGCTTCGTCAATGGTTTCAGCAAGTTTGCCATTACTACTTTCAACTAACTTATGTCGAGGGTAAAATGCTATGGAGTCGTCAGCAGCTTTTATAAGATATCCATTACCTTGTGTAGAGTCTACGATATAATAGTTTCTACTTAACCTTAAACGTTTCTTTGTCAACGGTTTGTCGTCAAGAACTACACGAACTTTTGTACCAGGAATGAGGGTAAATTGTGTTGAATTTCTGATATTTTGTGTTTGGCTTCGTTTCTTTTGTATATACTTTTCTTCTTGTTGTTGTGTCATTGAATTTGGTGTATGTCCTGTTGTAGAATGTGTTGAGGAATTATATACTTCGAGAAAATGTTTCATTGTTTCTTCGGTAAAGTCTCGCTCTTGATTTAAATCTCTGAGCGTTCTTATGAAGCGGTTTATGATGCCGAGTATGTTATGGTTATGGTCTTCAGTAGTGTAGTGAGTTATGTTATGCTTAATGAGAAATTCTGTGATTTCATTGCTGAGGTATGCACTGTCTTGGTCTGATGTTAAAGTACTTGGGTTATGTTCTGCTACAAACTTTTGTAAAACTCTTAACACTTCACGAGTTCCTTTATTTTTCATTGGATATGCATATGCTTTACGAGTGTTAACATTTATGAAGATGAGGAATGGTTTATGTCCTCCTTTTCTGCTTTGAATGAGAGTGTCAAATTGGTATGCGTCAGGAGTGTTGGAGTAAATTGGTAAAAAGTAGTCGTAAGGGTTTATTTTTGTTTGATGTACAACATTTTTGTCAAAGAACCTTTTCACTTCAGCTCTGTTAGTAAATCCCCAACTCTTTGCAGCTTCATTGAATTTCTTAAATGACCTCCATGGATGTTGTTCGAATACTTCTTTCAAGCTCATTTATGTAAAGTTAAAGATTTTAACCAACTCGTATCCAAGCGTGCATTGTTATATAAGGAGGCATATAATCTTTTCCATTACCTGCTGGGTCTGTAATACCAGCTACAACATGTGTATGATTTCCTGCAGTTCCACAGAAAATACCTGTGCTAACATCTTTGGGGTCAGTTGTGATATCATATCTATGCATTCCCTGTCTATCCGAACCCGCTGCAAGATTTGTATAACCTCTTTTTGTTATTGAATGTGAATGGTTTCCTTCCACAGATGTTCTTCCACTGAACCTATGCATATGTGAAGGAAGGTTTTCAATACCTATTTTCTTTGAACCTCCCATCTTCATTGACTGAGTATTAGTGTAGAATGGAAAACTGTCAACTATTTCATACCATCTACCACCAAATAAAGTGTTTGGATTTATTGGATTCATAGACGTATAAACAGCTCCTATAGGATATATTAAATCATATATGCTCATAACTCTATAAACATATTCTAAAGAACTTATGTCATTAAATACCATTTGGAATGTATCTCCCGGATGAAATGTTGCATTTGTTCCACTTTTATAATGTAATGTTAGTTCAATAGAATTATCCAAGAAAAATTCAAAAGTATCTGGTTGAAGACCTCTAACAAATTCAAATGGAGTTGCTGGTTCACCATTTATAATTTCTGTTGTAAATGTCATTGTATCTGGTTTCGAAAATTTCTTTGTTAGTTCTGCATCCACATAAGTTTTGTCTGCTTTCTTATCTAACATTGTTGGTAGTTCATGTGCTTCAAAGTTTCTGGCATGACTTTCAATTTGCAACTCTTATCTAAACTGTTAAGAGTATCTTTTACGCTTGTACTTGGATTTTCTAATGGTGCACTTGAACCAAGGTCAAAGTTCAATATTATGTCGTCTGCTCTAACAGTAGTGAAGGATTTATGTGTATGGTTCTTGTCAGCTTTACTGTCTAATGTAGCTTGAAGTTCATTTATATCGGAGATGTTGTGTTTATGAGATTTCAAAACTTTGTTCGTTGCTTCGAGTTCAACTTTGTCAGCTTTACTTTTAATAGCATCTTCAAACGTTATTTTTGCCTTAACTCTTAACATAAATCTTGGTTCAACTAATACACCGTTAACATTGAAAGTAGAGGCATAAATTTCACCGGTATAACCAAATGCTTCTGGTGCTTTAGCTACATCATACTGTACAGTACAGCTTATGTCATAACCTTTAGCACGAATGTATTTATATCTTCTTTCATTAACATTTTTTGTCTTCGCTTCATCACTTCGTGTTAAATATCCATGGTAGTCCGTTATAATCTGTTCGTCTGAAGTTATATAATGAACATGGTTCTTGTCCGCTTTACTATTTAATGTAGCTTGAAGTTCATTTATATCGGAGATGTTGTGTTTATGAGATTTCAAAACTTTGTTCATTGCGTCAAGTTCATTTTTGTCCGCTTTACTATTTAATGTAGCTTGAAGTTCATTTATATCGGAGATATTGTGTTTATGTTCTTTATCTGCTTTTTCGGCTAATTTCTCTTCTATCTCATTTATTTCAAGTTCATGCCTACCACCACCTCCCGAAGAAGTATTTTTCTTCAGCTCTTGAAGAACGTCCACTTCGCCATCTTTGGTGTCAATAATGAGACTTTGAGTTAAAACCTTTCCTGTCTTAATGGATGTTTGTAAAACTTCTTCTTCACCATGTTCGGGGTCATGGTCGTCATCATATCTTGTGAAATCAGAGATGTTGTCATACATTAAGCATATCTGTCTCAAAAGTTCTGCTATTTGAAACTGGAACGAAAGATATACAGAACTTTCATCATCTCCTAAAGTCAAGTCTGCTTTCTTAAGTATTTCTTGAATGTATGCAATGAGAACAGAGTACCTTGGAAAATATTCGAACAATATTTCATTAGCTGTTGGTTTTGGTGGTTCTTTTGGAGTTTCTGTTGTTTCAGTTCCTTCTGTAGGTTCTGTTGGAGTTTCTGCATCTCTTGACTTCAATGCTCTTGCTCTCAAAGACCTAAATGTTAGAGCACCGGGTTTTACAAAGGACTTTATAAATGCTTTAATAGTTCCTGGTAAGTTATTGTTAGCATTAAGTAAGTTCCTTATGCTTCCATCATGTACGTCCATAGCACTATGTAAAAAATCTATACTTTTCTTGTAGTCAGCAATAGACTGACTGTGATTTTTTAAAGATTTGTCAATACCTTTAAGCCAATCTTCATGCATGTCTGATACTGAGCCAAGAATATCATTTGCTTCCTTTAGTGTATTTTGTGCTTGTCGTAAAGTATCCAATCCCGTACGTGCATTGTTTGCTATACGTCTTACAGTATCTATTTGACTCCTTGTTTCTTGCATCCAACCAGATAAAGTTTTAATAGTATCCGAACCATTTGAAATGAAGTTCAAAGCATTTTTAACGTCATTTAAAACTTCTTCACCAAGTACCGCCCATATCTTTCCGATTTGGTATTGAAGAACTCCATATGAAGCAGCTGTTAAACCAGTATTTATAAGGTCCCATATCCATGATTTAGCAGTTTTTCCATCCTTTCCATCCTTTCCATCCAAACCGTTTTCGCCTTGAGGTCCTTGTATTCCTTGTATTCCTTGTATTCCTTGTGGTCCTTGAGGTCCGGTGTCACCCTTCTCTCCTTTCAGTTCATCTTTATGTTCGTTATAATATTCTAATGTCATAAGGTGTACATCATTACTGCTACCAGCAACGCCGAGAATTTGTTTCTCATTCATGACTAAATTCTTTAGGCATTTAATGTTGTCGTCAAATCGAAAGCTCTTTAACAATTCAATGAGAACATTTAATACTTTCACTAATGAGGCATCTACTGTAGAATTTATATATTGCACCGTTCCATCATTTATGATGGGAACCTTGCTTGTTGTAATGAATGGGTCATAAGTGTTAAAAGTATCGAAATCAATGACTTTTTTAGTTTTTCCATCGTCAATGACTAAATCATTGCCTTCAATGGTTAAAGTTGAGTTTTCGTTTACTAGTTCATGTGCTCTTCTTGCTTCATTTGTTTCATACGCATATGCAGCAATAGTCATATTTTAATGAGAATAAAATGTTGTTCTATTTGCAAAGTACAGACCCAAACGAATACGGGACAGTAAAGCTACAAACAAACTTAGGTCTTCAGAATGAAGCGCTTGCTTTCAGAGTTGTTGACTTCAATACTATCGCAACTTTTGTCATAACAGATGAAACAGATTTCATGGAGTTTGAAATAGATGACAAAAGAAGTGTTGTAACATTTCCTAACAGAGCCGAGTACAGAATAGATAAAATTGCTGGAGTCATAGATACTCTCATAAATGAAGAAACTATTGACAACATAGATGTCGAACTCTCTTCTGAGGGAACATTGAAGTTCAGTAGCAAGAAAGAGTTCAAGATACCAAGAATGAGTCATAGAGTACAACTTCTTCTGGGAGCATACCATATGACATTTCCTTTGAAAAGTGTTGACAAAACGATTGAGATGAAATCTGTTCCATACGTATGTTATGGTAATTGTTTGTACGTTGAGTCAAAAATAGCTAATGTCACAGGTATTTCAGGAGTTAATAGTAAAGGTTCAGTAGAATATAAATCCTTCTGTTATGCAGTCAATTCAATGTTCATTCCAAACGTTCCTGTCATAGCAACTCATTTAGGTAAATGGGTTCGCATTAGTCCTCATAATTTGAAAGACATGCAATTCAGACTTGTTGACTTTCAAGGAGAGCCTGTAGAACTGAAGGCACCAGTGCGAATGACTGTTGAAGTTGACTTTTTAGAAAATATTAAATGCAACAGCTTACAAGAGAACTCAGAGCTAAAAATATAAAGTATGAATGTTATGTATTAGGTCATGAACTTTGGTTGTTGCTGTTTGATGAAACAAATGAGTTAGTTATGCCAGTCAAGAGAACAGAAAAAGGCGTCAAAGGCGCCGAGCGCAAAGCGCTATATTGTGTTAGTGAAAACTGCACCAAGTCAATAAGATTAGGTTTGCATTATGAAGATGAGTTCGATACTGTTGAAGAAGTTTTGGACAGATATTACAAATTGCTAACTTGAATTTTTTTGACTGACGGCGCAAAGCGCCAAGATGGGCTCAAAGAGCCCTCCTGACTGCTTTAATTTACTAAAACATATTTCAAGCAAAGCTTATAGTAAGTAGATAGTTTTGTATACTCGTTCGAATATTTATACTTAAACTCAACTCCTGTAGTTCCTGGTGTTTCAATGATGCGGATGTTACCTATTTTCATGAATAGTGGAGTTTGACCACAGCATTCGATTTCAGGGTCGAGATAGTCAATGACACATTGTTTCCCTGTTATTCGTGAGATAACATTTTCAAGGTCCTCCTTTGTTAGAATTATTTGGTTCTTGCTTATAAGATTTGTCAAAAGCTTCTTATCGTCTTTGAGTAAAATTGTTTGGTATAACTGAAGAAGGTAATGGTCTACGTTATCTGAAGGATTTGTTTGAACATTTGTGTAAGGGTTGTCGTTGGCTTCTCTTGAAAGAATTTGGTCCAGTGGTGGATACTCTAACTTAACATCTGATGTAGCGTTAGCGTTTGAAGCTGAGTTTAAATTCACGGCGCCATGCGCCAAGATGGGCTCTTTGAGCCCTCCCGACTTAAGTTCTGGTTCTTTTTCTTTCAAACACTCTGAACTATAGTTCTTTATGACAATATTGTTTGTCGTTCGTGAGTCAACATTTGATGTTGGTTCAATTGGAACATTAACGGCACCAGCTAAGATGGATTTGCTTCTCATTTCATATAGAATAAAAACCTTTTATATGTATGAAATGAACAATATACTCGACAAGGGTTTGAATGTAAAGCTAACGAATGAAAATATTGTTGAATTCACTGAGACAGGAGCTGTGTATAAAGATGTAGAACTACTGAACAAAAGAGCTAAGGGAAGAAGCAGGAATATGAACAAAGGGTGGAAGCCTATAAAAATTTATGTCAATGATGGCTCAGGAGGTTCAAACATAAAGTATGCAGAAAGTTATAGAGTTTATGCTCTCAAAGGTGAAAAGCCTTCATTTAAGAACAGCTATTCTAACACATATCCTCAAAAGCTAACGGATGGGGAAGTGGATGATATGAATGACAGCAAAAATATTAACAGAAATGGCGACAGAGATGCATGGAATTTGTTTACCATCAGTCAATTGAAGGTTAAACTTTAAAACAATGTTGGTCGTTCCCATGGAATGTTTTTGACTTTAATGGTATTAGTCATGATATGAATCTCAAGGTATGAACGAGGAGAGATGAGAGACTTATATGCTTCCCAAATTTCTTCAAAAGGTAATGTTATACCTGACTGTTTCCAAATGAGTTCAATGTCATAGCGTGAGAAACCTTGAAAGATAACGAAGTCAGTTATGAGACGTTTTATGTTTAAAGCAAGGAAACGCCATGTTTGCATAAGTATTGCTACAGTTAAGTGGTAATGTCTGACTTTAGTTATGATGTTAGCTAATGGTGAGTCTGCTTTTGACACTAAACCTTTTCCGGCGAAGTCGTCACAAACGAGCAGAGTGTTTGAAGGATACTTTTTGAAGGGGTATTTTGAAAGTTTTGATAGAATGTAGTTTGTCAGTCGTTTCATATCGTAAACTCCTGAGTATTGACGTAAGTGGTGTTTGTCAATAATTCTTTCCATCTCTTCTGAAGTCTTTTGCATTCCTGACTGTATGAACTCTACAATAGCATAATATTTTCTCTTACGTCGAATGTAACGTTGAAGAAATTCAATGAGTTCGCTATCTGGAACTTTAACGACAGAGGCTTGAACTTTTGACATAAATGTTTTCGCTGTTGAATCCATAGAGTCTGAAGTTGCTGATATAATGATTTGGTCATAGTAAGAGTCGTTTCCTAAACGCTCTGTTATGAGTATATGACGAATGAGGTTAAATGTCTTACCTGAACCCATCTTTCCACAATAGAAATACACACCATTTGAACAGAACTCATAGTCCTTACTGAAAGGAAGAATGAGAGAACTGTTGAGCTTTTCACTGCTTTCATTCATGTCTTCATCTACGTCATGTATTAAATGCTTCATTTTATCTTCATTAAAAATGCAAGTCAGAAATATTCAGAACATAGCACCGAGTCTAACTGACAAGAGTATAAAGATATACTATGAACACGTTATGATGAAACCTACCAAAATTCAAGAAAGTCAGTATACTTATGAATATCCAAGACACTGGGTAGAGTATGTAGGAGGTGAGAAAGCTATTGAAATAAGACAAGTTAGAAGTATTCCAGCAGGAAGAACAATATTATTGAAGAACTTTAATGTTTTGAGGTATAATGATGAAACAAAGAAGCAAGATAGTTTTCCTGTTGCTGTGTATGTGAACCTAGACACAGGAGATGACATGAAAGTTTTTAACACAAAGCTTCAAACGGTAGTGAGAGAACAACTGACTGCGGAAGGACATCCATTACCTTCAGAAGTTACCATAGTATATAATTTTGAAACAAATGCAATAGATTTTAAAGTCGTCTCTGCAAAGAAGTCAGGTTTTACATTTAATGAAGCAGATGTATATTCGAATGAAAACTTCAAAGCTATTGCATGGTTAGATAATGACGATTGCTTTAAGAAAATATTTAAATTCAGTGACTCAAAGATGTCAATAGATGACCTTCGTGGAATGTTACCATCGACGTTTACAGTAGAAGGTTCAGCAGGATTGCTTACAAGATTGTCAATTGGTGGTATTTGGTCTCGTGAGAACATTGTTATAAAATCCAGTATAAGTGAATTTGCTGAAGAATCTATATTATGTCTTTCAAACTACATGTATTCGCCGCCGAAGCATTATAGTATAACAAACTTTGTCAGTAAGTTTAACATAAGACTTGTCGAACCTTCTTCAATGAAAGATGTTGTGCTACCTAAAGATGGAAAGGATGGACTCATTATTGAGATGATTTTAATAGCATATTAAATGAGCTTGTTCTTGAAGGTCATTCATGATGAAATAACTGTTGTAGAAGATGTTAGCAATTGTTCAGACATTTTGAAGCGTATAGATGAGATAAGAAAGAAGTTTATGAAGCCGCAACGCGGCGAGGACGAAGTCCATGAGAATGTTTATGTTTCATTGACTTTCTCCAGTAACGAGAACTTTTATGAGATAATATTGAAGAGAGATGATTTTAATATGGTGTAAATGGTAGCTTGGACAGCTTTAGGCGCAATGGGAACAAAAGCATTAGCATTTGGAGCAAAAGCACTTGGGGCTTATGACGCAGTAAATAAAATGAGTGGAGGAAGGGTTTCGAAGACATTAGATGCAAATAAAGGGAAGATTGGAGGCTGGGTTGCAAAGAAGTTAAGATTAAATAAAATAGGGCTCATAAATAAAGCATCCAATTTGGTTGCGACTGAGTCAGAAAATGCTTTAGGAAAGGACGATGAGTTTGCAAAACACGCAAAAGACTTTAATGACCAGATGAAAGGTGAAACAATGCATTTAAATAGAGTCGATGGAACTCTTCCTCCATCAGTAGTTCTTCCGTATGGTCCCTATGGAATGTATGGAAACCCTTACGAAAGACCATTTGACCCATTGACTGGTGGAAGTAATTGGTATCATTACGGACGAAGAAGAAAGACAGTTAAGCTGGAGACAGACGTGAAGAAAGCAACTAAAAAGAAACCAAGGAAGAGAGTTATAAAGCAATGAATTCAACAGGTTAGAAAAGAGGTTAGATATCGGGTTAGATCTAACCTTCTAACATAAACATTATTTTTGTGCTATGTTTTCATACGTGTGCGGGTGGTGATATCATTAATTTTTAAGTTTATTTTTATATAAATGACAGAACAAAAATATAACATATCTACTCAACAGGAATGAGACCCTTACTGACTATGTATTCGTTTAATGCTTGATGAAAACAATGGTACATATTATCGTATGGGTATACACAACGTCTGTTTCCATCGTCGTCGTATATGTAGAGCTCAAATCCAGTCCAACCTTCTTTTGTACAATATGTAGCTTTATTTAAGTATGCATTTATGTAGATAAGGCAATTTTCTTCATCGCTCCAGAAATAATTTTTCGTCTTTGTTGAAATAGTTTTCGTTCCTCTGCGACCATAAGGAATGTATGCAATGAACTTTGCGTCATAAGGGATTGTAATATATTCAGGGTTTCTTTCATCGTCAATGGGTCTGTCTTTGTTAAAATGCATGTTTCTCAGTTTTACTTGAGTTTTGAATAGTTCACGGAAACGTTCTGGGAAAGAGTCATAGTAAATGTAGTCGGACATGTCTTTGTAATGAAATAAAAAATTTAAAAAAATAAAAATAAGGTTATTTTTTATTTAGTGAGGACGGTAGGGAATTCGTTAGTGAAGTCGTTAGTGAAGTAGTTAGTGAAGTCGTTTATGTGTCAGATGGTTTTGTAAATATTTAAGGTTAAGTTGGTGTTATGGTTGTGTTGTAAAATATACGTTACCGGTTTCGTAAAGTGTCAAAACCGCTAAGTGGTGTACGGAGGCGCGCAATGCCACAGTACACGACTTAGGGATACTAACTCCAAAATATCTGCATCTTTCATATCTTTCAATGGCATTAAAGCCGCGCTGAAAATACCAGCTATATCTGGTTCACCATTCACTTCCATTGCGTCTACAACTTCTTGGAATTGAGGTTGTAAGTTTATGAACCACCTATCCGGATTAGCTTTATGACCCCATCTCATTGTAGTTCCATAGTCTGCAGAAACAAAAGTAGGTTTGTTTCCATATTGGTTAGGTTCTGAATGAACTTTAAACAATGTTTCATTTCTATATGTTTTGTTGAAATTTAACCTTTTATTTTCACCGAGTTCAGCCAAAGATTGAACATTATATGGTCGTAAGTAAAAAGGATTGTTGTATTTGCGTACACTTTCTTTCAGTTCTTCCATTCTATGCTGAATATTTTCATCTGATGTTGGAGTCTTTTGTATGTCGGCGAACATTTTTCGATATTCTTCTACTATGTCAGCCGAATTTTTCTTAGACTCTTGGAAAGATTCCATATTCCCCGCATACACTTGTTGAGGGTCAAGATTTTTCGGCTGTTCCAAATCTTCATCTAGTTCTGTGAAGTTAGTTTCCAAAGGAGGGACTTGTTCGTTTCCTTCAGGCTCTTCTAGCTGTTGTTGCTGAACTATTTCTTCCATGTCTGGTTGTATCTGAACTTCTTCCTGTTGAGTTTCTTGTACCTCATCTGCTGGCATTTCATATATTCCGAGACCGTTTTTAACAAGTTCCCTATCTAAGTCATCCGGACTCATAAACCTTTCTTCTTTCGTTCCGTCTCTATTTTTTACGCGTTTCATGAAGAGAGTTGAATTATCATTTAGCTCTGACACCAAATATCTTGGAGTAAATTCATCCATGTCATTTGGATGATATGCTATTAAATCATATCCCTTAGCGAGCTTGTATTTTCCAGGTTTGAAATTATATCCCATTTGGTGCTGAACCATAAAGCTAAATAGGTTCGGGTCAGTATTTCCTTCCTTGAACTTTCTAATAGCTTCTTTATATCTGTCACTAAAGTCAAGAGTATCTGGGTAACCATAATTTTCCTTAAGCATTTTTAAGAATTCTTGGTTTCCTTGTTCTCTACTTCTTTTATGTCCTTGCTCTGTTTGTGGTTGTTGTTGTGCAGGGTTTTGAACTGTTGGTTGCTGTGCTGGTTGTGGAGGTGGTTGTTGTGCTGGTTTTGGTTGTGGTGCAGTGTTTTGAACTGTTGGTTGTTGTGCTGGATTTTGAACTGTTGGTTGTTGTGTTGGTTTTGGTGCATGCCTGTGTCTGTGTCCATGTGACGATGTAAATGTTTTAGGTAGTCCTGGTGCAGGTGCTTCTCTTGGAGGGTTTGGTGGTATATAAGTTCCACTAGCTAGTATATAAGTTCCACCAGCTGGTATATAAGTTCCACCAGCTGGCACATATGTTCCATCTGCAGCATAATGTCCTACCTGACTTTTCGTTCTTAAGAAAGCATTTACTAGGTCTGTTTTGGTCTGTTGTAACTCTTTTTCTTGACTTTTCACAACAGTTGCTCTAACGGCGTCATAGGCACTTTGAACTGCCTGTCTCGTTGCTGCATCTGTTATTTTCGTCATATTTTGTGCTACTTCTCTTAACTCTTTGTCGAAACCTTCAGACTTCAGTTTCTTTCCAGATGAGAAGTCGTTCACTAGTTTCACCTTACTATGAAGAGCTTCGAAGGCGTTCTTAAAGTCAGCATTCATTAAAGCTTCATTTGAACTGTCTTCATCCGCTTGTATTTTTGTCCTTATTGACCCTATAAGTTGGGCTGCTTTGGCGTTGGCTTGGGCATCTAACCAGTCATTATTAGCTTTTATATATTCTGCGCTTTTCATTGCCTTTTGCATGGCTGCGTCGTTATTTTTACTTTCTTGTGCTAAGTTTTCATACTGTACGGTTTGGTTTTGCAACTGTAAAAGTTTTTCTGCCTTTACATTTGCTTCAACTTCTTTTTTATACTCATCGCTATCCATATATGTCTTCAGGGCTTTTTGTTTTATCTCTTCATCTTTCAGTACTTTATATTGAGTAGTATGGTTTTTCAAATTTATAACATCTTGTTCCATTTTTGCTACTTCTGCTGCTTTTTCTGACACTTTTTTCGCATATTCCTCTGTACTTAGTTCTTTCAGTTGTTCTTCTTTCTTCTTTTTCTCTACGTTTAACTCATTGAGTTTCTTTGTGTGTCTGTCATATTCTAGTTTCTTTTCGTTTTCACTTATTTGTTTCTGTATGTCTATGTTTGACTTTTTGACATCTGTTATTTGATTTTTGAGTGAACTCAAATTCATTTGACTTTGAGGGTTATAAGCTGTTCCGTCTGCAGCTCCACCATAGCCTGCCATTTTCGCTAAAAGTGCCGCTCTTAAACCTCCACTCTGTGCACCAATAACTCGGTTTAAAAGCATAGGGTTGCTTGACATTTGTTGCAACATAGTGGGGTCATTCATAATTTGTTGTTGCAACTGTTGTTGTGGTGTCAGTTTTACTATTGGATGTTTCAATGCTCTCTTCCTCTTACGTATATTCTTACGTAGCTTACGTGGCATTTTAAGTGAAGTAAAAAACGGTTTTTGACAGATGTTTATATGACACTATTTGTTCAGCACAAAAAACTACTCGGTCAAAGTGTTGTCAGTTTTGTAAAATAACCGTCCTATCTCCGTGCCTATGACGAAGAAATCATGAAAATTCAAGAGGTGAGAAAAGAGGTGAGAAAACAGGTGAGATCTCACCTCTTCACCTAAACTTTATTTTTGGGTCCTTTACACTCATTACGATGAAGAAGTCTTGACAAAACATGTACGTTCATGTTTGACAAAACATTTACGAAGAAATCATGACAAATTCAAGAGGGTAGAAAAGAGGTTAGAAAAGAGGTTAGATCTAACCTTCTACCCTAAATTATATTTTTGGTCATTTACACTCATTACGAAGAAGTCTTGACAAAACATGAAAACATATATAATTTGTGAAAAGCGACACATTATATAATGTTTTCGACCCAGAAGACTAACAATTTTCCGAATAAAAACTTCATTTATTACTAAACATCATCAGGGCTAGAAGGCACGAAGTGCCTGGAAGCCCCACTACCTTTTTTTTTTTTTTTTCATAAACTCATATTATTTTCTAATATATAACTATTTTATATAAAAATCAAATTCAATGATCTTAAAAGCGAAGGATAAACCTCAAAATTTACGAATATAATGAGTGGGAATATAATGCTTATCTATCATAAAACCATATGAAATATTAATTTTTGCTTTACGCCTAATTTTTGACGACAATTAGCAAAAAATGTTAAATGTTAACACTCAGTCCATTTGAATATGAAAAATAAAATTGACTTTGATTAAATGTTTTTATTTATCATGCAATTCTTCTTGCGACCAAAGATTTGAATAAATGTTCAAAAAATAAGATAGCTTAAAAAATAATATACGGTAGTGTTTACTAATAGATGAATAGTATATAAATTCTATTAAAATGGATTTGATCCAAAAAAATATATAAAATTTGATCATAAATAAAATTGTTTAGTAGTCATTTAAACTGATGTAATTATTCAAATTTTGCTAAGACCCCTTCGTCTTTGATATATAACTCCCATTTTTGCATTTCTGGCTGTACCAAAATTTTGAAACTTCGAATAATTCGTTAGGAGTGTAATTACTATTCGTTTTTGGATTAATATCGAGAGATAAATGTGGTGTATTGTTGTATTTTTCAATGAACTGCTGAACTGAGTCCTTGATTTGTTGAATATCATCCAACTCGTCTGGCAAAAACTTTTCTAAGCTTGGCCACAGGCGCTCCACCTTGCCGTTCTGTCTTGGCATATACGGCAAGGTGTGCTTCCAAACTATTCCGTTTTCCTGCATAACCTGGCCGAATTCACCGCGGTTTTCACCGCCGTTATCGGTCCAGATGCAGTAAGGAATAAACTCCTCTAAAAGTTTTCTTAAAGCCTTCGCTGTTGAGTTGGAAGACTTGTTTTTCAATAATTTAGTTTTGAGAACTTTACGTGTCATATCATCCAATATGGCAAAAAATGGAAAAGAAACATTACCGTGAAGGTAATGAATATCGCAGTGCCACATCAAATTCTTTGATATGGCACGATATTTGGTAGGTGGATCTGCTGGTTTGTAATCTCTTTTTGAAGATAAACCTGATTCCATCATAAATTTTTCCACTTGATGATGCTTTATTTTTTGTAAATTGTCAAAAATTTGATCTTTTGTCAAATCTTCTATATTTTCAAATTCTTTTGCAATTTCTTCTTTTTCTTTCTCACAATCGGGATTTTGAGCAATATTTTGAAACCTTTTAATCAATAAATAAGTTTTTGAAATTCCTCCTTTATATTGTGAAACACAAGAATTAATTAATTGTTTTTGCTCAAATGTTGGTGGATTTGGTTTTCTGCCGCGACTAACTTTTGGTAATTCGATTTCTTGAAGTTGAAATGCTCTTCTTATTGTATTTTCGGCAACATTCAATTTAATTTTACCATTTTCCAATTCAACTTCCTTTCCCACACTTTTGTAAGATTCACCTTCTTCTATTCTTCTTTTAGCTTCAAATAGCCATTCTCTGCTTATAGATTTGGCAGTAGTCATAAAAGTGGTCCTTCTTTTGTGATAAGATTCAAATTTGAATGTGGATGATAAATAAAAACAAAAATAATTGTTATAATTTAAATGAAGAAGTAATTTAAAACGATTTTATTTATGATCAAATTTTATATATTTTTTTGGATCAAATCCATTTTAATAGAATTTATATACTATTCATCTATTAGTAAACACTACCGTATATTATTTTTTAAGCTATCTTATTTTTTGAACTTTTATTCAAATCTTTGGTCGCAAGAAGAATTGCATGATAAATAAAAACATTTAATCAAAGTCAATTTTATTTTTCATATTCAAATGGACTGAGTGTTAACATTTAACATTTTTTGCTAATTGTCGTCAAAAATTAGGCGTAAAGCAAAAATTAATATTTCATATGGTTTTATGATAGATAAGCATTATATTCCCACTCATTATATTCGTAAATTTTGAGGTTTATCCTTCGCTTTTAAGATCATTGAATTTGATTTTTATATAAAATAGTTATATATTAGAAAATAATATGAGTTTATGTGATATTATTTTTCAGAAGATTTCATTCTATATGCCTATGAAAAGTACTCTCAAAACTAACTTTTCCTAATTATAATTAAATCTAGAATATTGTATTATGCTTAGTATTATTTCATTTTTCTCATTCAATTTAGAATTTACAAATGTCAAAAAATTGAGAGCTGTCACTTTTGATGAATTTCTGTTTATTACAATAAAGATGATAATAAACCTGTGAACATTTGCTGTCAGAAAAATATCAAATAAATTTCATATTGAGAAATTTCTGAAATTATTCAATATTATGTGGCATGCTTTATTGTTCAATTCATCTTTATTGAAGTTTCAAATTTTTGAATTGCACTTCAAATTTTTGAGGCAATTTTATTTTACATATAGAATACAATATTGCATTTAACTACTCCTGGAATTGATTCTTCAATTTTTAATTTTAATTCAAAAGTAAAAAAATTTGAAATTGCTATCAATAGTCTTACTCAATTTAATTATATGTCAATTCAAAACATTTTTTTTGATGATATCGCCCAACAGATTAGTAACGAAGAACAAATTCTCAGAGTCAGATGATATTAAGCTGAAAAACTTTGTCAATGAATATGGCAAAGACTGGAACTTAATATCGGATAAGATGTTTAACAAATCAGCAAGACAATGCAAAGACAGATACGAGAAATATCTAGCTCCGCATCTGAAATCAAGTCCGTTTACACTCGATGAAGACATCCAACTTCTTAGTTTGTACAAAAAGCTAGGTTGTCGTTGGATTAAAATCTCGGAAATGATGACAGGAAGATCTGATGTTGCAATTAAAGCGAGATTCAAACTACTAAAAAGACATGGCAAAAATCTACAAACTCTCAAGAAAGAGAAAACTCAGGAGAAGAAAAATCAAGAACGTGAGATAGCCGTTATTGAGAGAGGTTATCGATTTTGTAATTTAATCGTCGTCGTTATCGATTTTGTAATTTAATCGTTATCGTCTTTTTCTAAACGTGCATTTTTACATTAAAAGCAATGCAACTCCAAAATTAATTGGTATTTAGACTTTAATTAGGTGCAGACAAACGAAATGCAGTCCAAATATTTTGGTGATATATGAATTACATAAATTTAGGGAAATTGAAATTATATCTTTTTAAATTTTTAGGAAAACAGATTTATAGAATTGTTTAAGTCATCAAAATAATGCAGACTTAGGTCAAATTTTCCAAATTTAATCATTTGCAAGACTTTCAAGCGACTTCAAAATGTCGAAATATAAGTCCAAAAATAAAATTACGATTACAGTCTATCCTTAATTATTATCACGCTAATTATTGAGTGACCCATGCGTTCGTATGTATGTAATACCTTTTAAAAAGGAGATGAGAGAGATAAACTACATTTACAATTTAAATCTGATGTATTTACTTGTTACATTTACAAATGTAAATGTTTCTCGTAATGTTTACATTTTGTAAGTATAACGAATAAAAATGACGCACTTTTTTTACAAAGTCAAATTATGCGATACAACTTTACTTGTTACATTTACAAATGTAAATGTTTCTCGTAATGTTTACATTTTGTAAGTATAACGAATAAAAATGACGCACTTTTTTTACAAAGTCAAATTATTGTTCGATTTTTGCAGCTTGTAAACGATTGAATAAAGATTTGTATTATTTTATTTATTTTTAAGAACATGTTTAAGAACCCTCATTATCTCCACGAATATTGCATATTTTTCTATTCTAAGACCACCAAAATTACGTTTTAATATAGAAAATAACATATTTATGTGATGCTAAAGTCGAAGTCCTTAAATATTTTTGAAATATTTACAAAATATGCTCTTTCTATCATCGATACTTTAATACAGAGCAAATTTAGTAAATGTCATCACATTATTTTTTCATAAATCGTTTTCGAACTTTTGAAATATTTATTTTAAACCAGTTTTCTACATTTAATATGTGAATTATATCAAAAGTAGATGGGCGATACTTGTAAATCTATTTAAACTATTAGTTTGCTATTATTGAAGAACTTTATAATTTTTTTTTCTTATGTATGGAATTAAAGATAATTTTGCCGATTCCAACTGGTTTTTCTATATGAGTTAAATATGCCAAGTGAAATTGGACTTGCCAATATTGTAAATTGAAGTATGGACTATATATCGATTTTCATTGATTGATGAATAACTCGGAGTAATGTAATTGTTGATAATGAAAAATAGTTTTCAATTGCTGGTAAGGGCCAATGTATGTTCAATAGCTCCGAAAGCAAAAAATGCACGTTTAGAAAAAGACGATAACGATTAAATTACAAAATCGATAACGACGACGATTAAATTACAAAATCAATAATGACCCCGTTATTGATAACTTCATCGAGCAATTTGAAAACTTGTTTGATTCAAGTGAAGATTTCTTTGGGAGCTCAATTCCGTAATTTGTTTTATTTTTTGTAAAAAAATTGAAATCTATTTCTCCACAATTTTCTTGTTTTTCATTTGTAATTGCATATATATGTGAAATGCATTCTATATTTTGGCTATTTTCACTGAATTCACATCTATGAATTGAATGGCTCTCAAAAAATGAAAAAATGTTGACTCTCTTAAAAGCTTGAGATAATGATGTGTAAGACAACAGCAAGCTAGATTTTATTTGATTCTCAAAAAACGGAAAATCGTGAAATGACATACAAATGTATTTCTCTTTTAATCATATGATATTCGATTCTAAGATTAACTCGTGTGGAAAACATCATTAGAAAACATTTAATCTGAATTTTGAATCAATTGTTTTTTTCAAAAAAAGCTCCACATTAAAATTATATTCGCTGATCTTTGCCATATCAGGAAAACTATTGCAATGTATCATTGTTTTCAATTTTCACATTAATAGCAAAATAAAAGATTGCTAGTATCTGAAATTATTACTATCTGACTCTTTAATATGATCTTTCGTAAAGAAAAACAGCAAATGGTTCAAATTATAAGTAAGTGGTGTAAAGAGTTATGAACGAATAGAGAATTCTTGTGAAATCCGTGTTCGTACATCAGCTGAAGTCTAAGTTGTTGTTTCCATGCATGGTTGCATTCTAGTATTCTATCATTGAACGAATATTGCAAAGATTGAAATTGAAGGTTTTGATTTTCCGAAATATAGTTGATATTTTTGATAAATCATGAATCTCCATATCGAAAAAGAAAGATTATTGACAAAAGTTAAAAGCTAAAGTTTACTGATAGTACAGATATTATATTTCAAAAACCTCAAGTCAATTTATTTGACCTGGAAAGCTTCTGGATAGAGGGCAACAGCTGTAGCGCCAATTAAACCGGAATCTGCGCCATAGATTGATTTCTCAATTCTTGGTGTCTTGATGTAGCCGTTGAGGAGTTCTCTAGTACGCTTCTGGATATTCTTGAGTAAGAATTCTCTTCCCTTTGCAGAAACGATGCCACCACCGATGATGAATGCATCAAGAGAGTAGCAAAGAGAAACGCTGGATGTGATTTGAGCAGCATACTCGCAGGAGTATGTCCAGATCTTGTCCTCATTAGGGATCTTGGCGAGTTCGCTCATCTGGCAGCCATATCTCTTAGCAAGAGCTGGAGCAGAGATCATTCCTTCAATGCAATCACCGTGGAATGGGCAGGTACCCTTAAAGTCATCATCTGGGTGGTGGAATGGCTTAAGGTGGCCACCTTCTGGGTGCATGCGGCCATGGAGTGGCTTGCCATCGCAGAAAACGCCAACACCGACGCCAGTTCCGATTGTGATGTAGCCAACTGACTTGATTGTGTTGTCTGTCTCCTTTAAGCGAAGATATTCGGAGTAAGCAGGAGCATTAACATCTGTCTCAAGGACAACGTTAGCATCTGGGAATGCCTTTTGGATTGAAGCAACAATTGGGTAGTTGCCCCACTTTGGCTTTGGTATATTGCCAATAGAGCCTTTATAGATATCTAATGGGCCGAAAGAAGCGATACCGATTCTATCAACTTCGTAGTCGGACTCCTTGATTGACTTGATGATTGCTTCAACAACTTAATCTGGTGTAGCTGGTTCACATGTCTTGATTCCTTTCTTCTTGTAGAGGAATGTGGGGTCATTATTGATTTTGTAATTTAATCGTCGTCGTTATCGATTTTGTAATTTAATCGTTATCGTCTTTTTCTAAACGTGCATTTTTTGCTTTCGGAGCTATTGAACATACATTGGCCCTTACCAGCAATTGAAAACTATTTTTCATTATCAACAATTACATTACTCCGAGTTATTCATCAATCAATGAAAATCGATATATAGTCCATACTTCAATTTACAATATTGGCAAGTCCAATTTCACTTGGCATATTTAACTCATATAGAAAAACCAGTTGGAATCGGCAAAATTATCTTTAATTCCATACATAAGAAAAAAAAATTATAAAGTTCTTCAATAATAGCAAACTAATAGTTTAAATAGATTTACAAGTATCGCCCATCTACTTTTGATATAATTCACATATTAAATGTAGAAAACTGGTTTAAAATAAATATTTCAAAAGTTCGAAAACGATTTATGAAAAAATAATGTGATGACATTTACTAAATTTGCTCTGTATTAAAGTATCGATGATAGAAAGAGCATATTTTGTAAATATTTCAAAAATATTTAAGGACTTCGACTTTAGCATCACATAAATATGTTATTTTCTATATTAAAACGTAATTTTGGTGGTCTTAGAATAGAAAAATATGCAATATTCGTGGAGATAATGAGGGTTCTTAAACATGTTCTTAAAAATAAATAAAATAATACAAATCTTTATTCAATCGTTTACAAGCTGCAAAAATCGAACAATAATTTGACTTTGTAAAAAAAGTGCGTCATTTTTATTCGTTATACTTACAAAATGTAAACATTACGAGAAACATTTACATTTGTAAATGTAACAAGTAAAGTTGTATCGCATAATTTGACTTTGTAAAAAAAGTGCGTCATTTTTATTCGTTATACTTACAAAATGTAAACATTACGAGAAACATTTACATTTGTAAATGTAACAAGTAAATACATCAGATTTAAATTGTAAATGTAGTTTATCTCTCTCATCTCCTTTTTAAAAGGTATTACATACATACGAACGCATGGGTCACTCAATAATTAGCGTGATAATAATTAAGGATAGACTGTAATCGTAATTTTATTTTTGGACTTATATTTCGACATTTTGAAGTCGCTTGAAAGTCTTGCAAATGATTAAATTTGGAAAATTTGACCTAAGTCTGCATTATTTTGATGACTTAAACAATTCTATAAATCTGTTTTCCTAAAAATTTAAAAAGATATAATTTCAATTTCCCTAAATTTATGTAATTCATATATCACCAAAATATTTGGACTGCATTTCGTTTGTCTGCACCTAATTAAAGTCTAAATACCAATTAATTTTGGAGTTGCATTGCTTTTAATGTAAAAATGCACGTTTAGAAAAAGACGATAACGATTAAATTACAAAATCGATAACGACGACGATTAAATTACAAAATCGATAACCTCTCGAGGAATGTGCCTAATTTTTCAGTAATTGCAAATGCAGCTGATTGTCCACTGAGTTCGATACCGCAGGCGTACTTCTTACCGAATGATCTTGCAACTGATGATAACATTGCAGAAAAATTAAGTCATGTTGATATGAAACGATATCCTTTCAAATGAAAATCTTTAGATTACTGGATGTTTTAATTATTTATATGATTTGGATATGTATTTTATAAAAAAACAATTTGAGAACTAACAAAAATGTTTAGATGGGTTACATTCGTCTGAGATTATTAAAAATTTATTTGATTTAGGTTTCTATTACTAAATACGAATTTTCTCTCATAAGAAATTTCTCTCAACTTTTTTAAAAGTAAAGTGGCTTGTCAGCCCACAAAAAAATGGCCTTTAATATAAAGATTTGTGTTTAATATTTCATATCTATAATAGAGATGGAATAGATTATAATTGAACTTTTTTTATAAGAATATTTTATTGGAAAACATAACGAGTAATGGCTAAATATGATTTATCCATTTTGGAATAGATTGTCAATTATTAACAAGAAAAAACAATGGGTTCGCTCAAATTTTGAAAACAACCGAAATTCGTCACGCTTCAATTTGTTTTGAATTTTTGTTCGAAATAATGATTAATAATAATTTATAATATATTATATTATTTTTTAATTTCATATTTTCTTTGCATTTATTCAATCTCGATCATTTATTTTTATCACTTCATGTTCCTATTATCTAGGATTGAAATCTTCTTAATAAAGCGTCAACTGTTACATTATTCGGGTGTATTAGTCATAAGTGCATTAATTTTTACAGTAACTTGAAGGAAATTTTTGATTTTATTCAGAATGTCATATTTACTGATTTTCTTCTGATACATTGCATAAATTGTAATTTAATTGTTAATTTATCATGAATTGGTCTTCTCATACTATTATATACAGAATAAAATTCTAAAAATTATAGTAATGTCCATAAATATATGCTTTTAGTAAGACGCTCATCAAATAAATAAAGATTTATCCAGGAAAACTACGATATTTGTTGTAAACATGATTTTGTATTCGCTTGATCTGATCACTGATAGTCTTGCTCGTCTTACAATTGATAAAGAATTGAATTTAAAGAGATTTGTTATGTCATTTGTTCATTTATTTGCAAAAAGTAATGATTGAAAAATTATTTTCATTATGTATAATCTACATATCATCATAAATAAGTTTACATTCTGTATGATTTCAACTTCTCTATAATTTTGAATCATCAAATCCAAATTAGAATAGACTCTCGGAATTATGTTTCATTTTTTAGCAAAATAAATATGATTTGATTCAAATTAGAAACCAGATACATAATAGGTTTGATTTTTTTTTGGATATTTAAAGGAAGAAATAACAGCAGCGTTATCACGTTTCAATTACGCATTTTCAGATCTTGGTTTTCCATATTTAAAGAAAACATAATATAACTAGCTAATTGAATGTCATTATACTTATTAATTATTGAATGAAAAAAATCAATTATTTTCTTACTGTTGAGATTCAATAAAAAATTCATATCCCTGATTTTTATTTTGAAGTGCAGTTAATTCCGAGAAATTTCGAATGACCTCATTTGGTAGCAAAAGTTTGAAAGGACAGTCATCAAATTTATCAAGATTAGTGTATGTTACTTGTTATATAATGGTAGTATTAATTGACAATATAAAACTTAAAAATTTCAAGTCCATTGGATAATTTAGCCGCGGGCATAAAGAAAATTTAGAAATCTATATCAGCATAAGATGTATGTTCATAATTTAAAATAAGTTTGAAATCAGAATACTGTAATACGATAAAATTGAATGCATAGAAAATTAATAAGGTAAGAAATTGTATAAATCTATTTGTCATCTGTTTTTACTCCAGAGTTCCAATATTTTTTAGTCTCTTTTTGAAATTTTTACAATAAATAAAATAACAATAAAACAGAATAAAAGCTAATATTGGATATATACTTCGATAAAATAGGGGTGACTTTTCAGTGTTATTCACTCAATTCTCACAAATATTGAATATTGTTAAAAGGTTATCACAGGTGTAATACTCCATATTATTTTTGTCTAATATATAAAATGCAATTATATTTCTTTTTGGCAAAGAATTGAATTCAAATTGCATCAATTTTTCATTTGGAGGGATTCTGTTTTTATTTTTTGAATTGTATCAAAATTAAATGAATTCAAATTTTTGATTTCATTAATTCATTACAATGGCCGAATTATCCGTATCTAAGTCAGCAGTGAGCTCACCAAGCAATGCTGAGTCCAATCTTAATTCATCTAGACATAAAAAGAAATTAATTGATCATTTTTTCCCTCTTTATGATCAGATCATGCAACGAGTTCACTTGCCAAACTGGTTTTCGACCTTGTGTGACATTTTCCTTGCATTCCAAGTTCTTACTTCTGGATTTTGGATCTTTTCTCAGCCTTTCCAACGAACTACAGGCGTTTGGAAGAAGATCTATTACTGGATCAATATGATTGTCTCTTTCCAAGATCCATTAAATACAAGTGAAACTAGATTAATCAATGCAGGCATATGTATAGGTGTCTCGATTTTTGCAATAATGTGGCTTATTTTCATGGTCTACTACTATTACAACAATTTTGTTATCCCAACTGTGTTCTTATATCTATCTGTAGTCTTCCTTGACCTTATTGCTCCAGCATTCATCATGCCGTCAGCTTATACAGCAGGATATGGAATTGCCTCCTTATTAGTCGCCCATAACCATGATTTTATTGTTGAAATAGTTCTTGGATCAATATCCTATATAGTAGCTCTCTTCTTCTTCATTCTTGGAACACTTTTGAAATCTCGGTCGGTAATTTTCACAAATTTAACCTACCAATGCTACGATTCTACATTCGTTATAGTTTGGTTTTCCATGACCTCATTCGAATGCATTCTCAGCGCCATTTTCCGTGCATTTGATGGAAAATTTTATTTATTCATTCCAATTATCCACTTAGGATGTGCACTTTGGATGTGTTATAGAACTATGTTCATTCCTTTCTATGCGTTATGGCGAAATCCAATCTGTTTCCAGTTCGGAATGGTCACAACAGCCTTAGACATCAATTTGGTCGTATTATATTTAGCTCCAAAACTTATTTATAACTATACAATTGTTGTTTTCCTTGCTATTACTGTTTTTGCACATCCTGTCGGTCAATTCGTTTTCAAATTAATTGTTTCGAAGAAAAAGAAACAATTAACAAATAACGAAGAGATCTCTGACATGACAGAATACTTCGATTCCCTTGGAATTGTTAAAAGTGCTTCACATTGTATGAGTTATATCGTTGTTGGAATGGCAGAAATGTGTGATTACTTCATAGATGGTGCCCTGACAGACTACATCATATTAAGAGGTGAAGGAGAAGGAATATTATCCTTGATGTTACAAGTAATGACATATCTTCCTTGTGAATCACAAAAATTGAACATGTTGTACAAGAAATTGATCAAAAAACGTAATTTATCGTTCATTAACCGTTTCTTGATCTTCCAAATCTCAATGGTCAGAACAAGAAGATTAGTTACTAACACAAAAGACACATTAGAGATCTTTACAAGACTGAAATCCCTTAATGAACAGATTAAGTTCAGAATCAACTCATTTTGGGACCTTTCCAGTGCTAAATCAAGTTTTTTGAGTGAATTAGTTAATTCTACACAAAAATTACAGAACCAGTTCGAATATACTTTGAAGCACAATCCAAACAACACAAGAATTATCAATGAATACGTCAATTTTTTGGTTGAATGCAGATGTGATTTTGACGAAGCAATTTTACAAGCACTTAAAAGTGATATGATATGTGATGGAAAGGATTTCAATGTTGATGTATCATTTAGAAGCTTCGTTTCTAAGTTCCCTTTATATTTGAAGAAGAAAATTTTTGATTTCAGAGGTAGAAAAATGGTTTCTGATTCAAGTATGAAGAAAGATGACAAGAACATCATGGATAACTCAATGAACAACGTCAAGTCATCGACGACAAGTAATTCTTCTGGTATCGAGTTCATGCCAACATCTGTTGACAATGAAAGTGAAGAACAAGTTGGCGGAAGAATTATTAAACAATCAAAAGTCAGAATTTTATTAAATAGAAACATCAAAGATTCAACACCAACACAATCTAGGTGGGTAATTATTTCTAGTTTATTGACATTCTCTATAGGTGTTGTTATATTAATTGCTTTCTATTTCACACAAAGTAATTCGTTGAATTTCAGAATAGTCTAGTCGGTTTTTGCATTTTTAAAATGTTAGCCACCTTTCTCCTTCCAAAGTGAAAAAAAATTGTTTAAAATATAAAAAGAATTTTTATTCGCATAGGCGACAAACAAGGATTTATAAATAAATAATGGGCTTTGAGTATTGATCTGAATTGAATCAGATAATTAGCCGTAAAAAATCTTCTAATAACGATTTCTCATGCATGAAAGATGGCTATGAGTGGCGTTAATGAGGGCGTTTGATAATTGGAGTTGGACATAAAATTTGGAGATCTTAATTTTTGAGAATTTTGGTGCGATCTTACTGGTACAAGCAAGAGTATGGAAGGAGATTGAACTGAGAAAAAAACTAGAGCATGCAAAAGAATCATGCTACAGCTTAGTTGAATGTCATTTATGCAAATAAAAATATCTTTTTCAAATTTCAAACAAATTTTGCCACTTTTTGAAAGAAGATAAGGTAACAAACATTTTAAAATGCAAAACCTAGACTTAAACTATGCCGAAATGTGAGCTCACCGTTACGGTTTTTTCTTTTTTTTGGGGCTCGCAAGCTCGCCCCCAAAGAAAAAACCGTAACGGTGACTAACATTTAGGAAAAATTTGCATTTTGGGATGTAAATAACATGGGATATTCAAATTTCTTTGTGAATGTTGCCAATTTCTATATCTTAACTGGATGGGCAAAATCAGCCGGAAGATATACAGAAGATACTTCTGTTTTAGGAGATTTACACATTGATGCTAATAATGTTAATTTAATTGTTGATCAATCATTAACTTTTGCACAAGCAATTTATTCATCAATGACAAAATCAAGAGTTTTCTTGAGAGTTGTTTTGGATTCTTTAGTTAATATGGCAAGAGAACAAGATATTTATAGAATGGCAGCTGATTTATTGAAACCAACAAGTCCAATTGTTGTTTGTGATCAAGGTTATCCAATTATTGCTGTCAATGGAACTTTATCACAATTAATATATTTCCTTAATTTTGAAGAAGCAGAAATTGCTGGAACATATGGTGCTGGCGAAACAATTCCTAATCTATTTACTGATACAACATATTGCCAAGTACAAATGAATACTTTCGCGTCAATGGATATTTCACAAGGAATATTCATGTCATTCATTGGTTCTTCTTCTGGATCAACAATTCATTTCAATCATATCTTCAAACTTTGGTTGATTTGTGGATCTGTTATTTTCTTAATCTTGGTAATTGTTCCTATTTCTATTATTGTTGCTTCTTATCTTAAAATGATCAATAGAGTATTAAAAATTCTATTGAATTTACCACAAAAATCAAGAGAAGAAGCAAAGCAAAATTTGTTTAATGAACAATTAGAATCAAGTGAAGATAAATTCCGTGGAAACAAACAAGGAAGATCTTTGAAAATTATTATATGTTATATTAATCAGTTATGCAACAATGATAGGAACAGTTGTTTTATATGTTTTGATGTGTGAAACAGCAATGAAATTGAATTCTAATGCTGCTAAATTCTATCAATGGTTTGGAATTTCAACAGCAAGAATGATTATTGCTTCAGAACTTGGAAATACCGCTATCCAAATGATTTTGTTGAATGGTTCTTTAGAAAATACTCAGATTTCTTATGATGAACTCGTTCAAAGAACACATATTTTGTTATTTGCAATGCAAGAAACAAATGGAATATTAATGAATGGTAATAATGAAACAGATAAAATGATTGGATATAATGATGAATTAGATTCATTCCAAATCCATGAAACATGCATATATGAACAAAATCCTGATTCCGTTCATGATATGTATGCATGTGCAAGTTTGAACAATCAAATCAACATGTTCATTCAAATAATCAAAGATGTAATGAACCAACCAAAGAAATACAAAGGAGAACTAATCAATGAATTCTCAATGAACTTGTTACATATGTTAGAAAGCCATATTTATCCAAATATTTATCAAGTTTCTGAGAAACTCAAAGAAATTATTATTAATGATTATAACACAAAAAGTAATGCTTGTTTAGCTTACTTGATTGTTGGTTTAGTTGTTATTGTTATGTTCTTGTTTGCATCATTAAGTTACAGATCTCTTTTGAATGAGAACTATACTGAATTATTAGTTTTAATTCAGCACTTAAGTCCACAAGCAATCATTGATTCTAAAGAATTAATGGACTTCTTGAGAAGAGAAAATGGTTCAAAATCAAATGAAAGAATGTCTATTTCTAAGTCAATTGTTTATGGTGCAAGTGAATCAATTATTATTACTAATCATAATGGAACTGTTGAAATAATTAATCCAAGTTTAACAGATAACTTAGGTTTCAAACCAGACCAAGTTTTAGGTCAACATATACAAAACTTCCTTGCAACAAGTTCTCAACAAAAAGTTTTGTCGCAAATCGAATTGATGATGAATGGACAAGGTTCTTCTATTTGGCAAGATCATATTGAGTTAATTAATGACTCAGGAAAAGTTGTTCCTTTCATGGTATCTATGATAGGAATGAAGGATTCTGATACTTCATCTACAATTGATTCAATTGTTTTCATTTTATCAAATGAAACAGAAGAAATCAAACAACGCGAACAGGCTGAAATTGCTAAACAAAAATCAGAAAAATTGTTGTATCAAATTTTGCCAAAAGATATCGTTATCAGATTGAATAGAGGCGAGAAAGACATTTCTTTCACAATCCCTCAGGCAACAGTTTTCTTCATTGACATTGTAAAGTTCTCAAATTATACTGCTTCACTTTCCCCGTCAGAAATCATGGCAAATTTGAGTACTGTTTTTGCCACTTTTGACAGAATTGTTTCTGGATATGAATTGATCACTAAAATCAAATTGATTGGTGATGTTTATATGGCAGCAAGTGGTTTGTTCATTACAGAAACAGATGAGAAAACAAATCACGCTGAACAAGCTGTCAGATGTTGTTTAGACATTGCAAATGAAATGGATTCAATCAACGCCAAATTAGAATCTCATCTTGAAGTGAGAATTGGTGTTAACAGCGGCGGTCCTTTGATTGGCGGTGTCTTAGGTACTGATAAACCAACATTCGATATCATTGGAGACACAATTAATGTCGCTGCAAGATTGCAAAGTATTGATATCCCTGGAAAAGTCCAGATTTCTAAGGAAACAAAAGAATTAATCCAGGATTTAGACCTTGTTTTCGAAGAACGCGGAGAGGTCTTCTTGAAAGGAAAAGGAAATAGAACAACTTACTTTGTTCGTTATCCTTCTGCAAATAATGGTAATGAATCATTTGCCATTAACATGTTCTCTGGTCAACTGAATTGACCGTAATTGTTTTGATTATTATGTATAAATATTGTTCTTTCTATTTATTTTCGTTAATTTTTAGAATTTTTTTGGAAAATTATTCATTGTTTTGGTTTTCAAGCGGAAACATATGGCTATTATTGGTTATTTAGACTGTAATTAAGGTAAGAACTAGTATTTTGATGGAATAATAAATGTTGTCAGACACAAATAAATCTGAAATGAAATTTGTTTTACTGGAAATCAATTGCTTCGTTTTTTATGAGATATAACTATTTTCCTCCCTACATTTAAACAGAAATCATTTGCTGCTGACATTTAGACGAATGAAATTATTCACGATTACATAGAAATTTTGAAATTGGATTTGATTCTACTATAATGTATCTTTGAAAATTTTCTTGTTTAATTTAAAAATTCTCTGATGATGAAATTTTCAATATATCATTCAATAGAATTCCAGGCCATCACTATTTGAGCTTCACTGCATTGGTCCAAATATAGATATATTATGAAAGATATTGCAATCAAAAAGAATGTGTGTTTGAAAATATTCAATTTACTGGAAAACATAAAGCAACTTATTTTGAATAAATCAACACCTGTGCTTTCCACTTAAACTGAAATTTTAAAGATCCTACTCATGAAATACATATTGATACTTGATATTATTGTTCACAGTAGCTTATTTCCATTTTGTTTCAATAAAAATATATTTGATAACATATTGTTTATGTAAATTAAGAATTTTGATTCTTTAATTTGCGTAAAGTTTTCGAACAAGATTTTGATTTCTTCCAACCTTATTACTGTGAATACCCTGAACGATTTTTAAGGTACATATGTATGGTATACACGATTTTCTTGTATAAGGTATGAATTTCAGTGATTATGGTGATTGATTGAAAAATATCGAATTTTAATTTAAAATATATGTGGATAATTAGTTAAATTTTATTTTTGGGTGCCAACTTTTATTATGCTATTGTCCAAGTTCAATTATAGCAATATTTTATTCATTTGATATTGCAAATACTATTATTTAGCCATGAGGATCTAAAAAATTTATGTGTTCTATGAATTAAAAACTGTTACTTGATTTATCCAAGGATCTGTGAATAAATTTTGAGATTTCTAATAAATCAAGAAATATAGTATTTTATGATTAAATAAAGATCATTAAGCATAATTTTAGATGTATTTAGAAAGTGGTCGTACCAATAGAATGATTTCTTCAACAATCCTGTTCAACTCATCAATTAAACATATCTCATTCTAAAAGTGCATTCTTATATAATTCTATGCATATAGCGGTCGTATGACTGGAAAATATATAAACTGTAAAATCATATGAAGCTATAACATCTTACATGACTGTCTTTACTGGAATATTTTATATTACACAAGAAATTCATGCTGTTTCATGATATATTGGCATATGATATAACTGAGCATAAAGAAGCATTTTGCACTCATCGTGATCAAACACTTAAGAACATAAAGTTGTTGAATAATAATGAATTTCTGTTTATATAGTAATTGAACTTGAAAGAATGGTCGATGATATCAATTTCATTGAGTCAAATTAACACCAATCATTTTTTATTTTCTAATTTCTCGTTACATCAGAGTTAATTGATACATCTTTTACTTAAATAATAGCCACTGTCAGTGTTCGGAAAAAATTTACTCTCGATACCTCGATTTTAGGTTGAAACTAGTACAGTATACATTGTGCGTCGCCTGTAGCCTACAGCTACAGTCACCGACACAATGAAAAAAGTGACAGAAAACTGACACCATACGGGCGCGCATATGTACGCATATATGTGTAAAAATAAACGTTCATATGTAAACTAACCTTTATTCACTAGCAGGAGCTTTGTTGTTCGCTTCCATTAAAATGTAAACTTTACGTGTCAAAAAAATTCTGTCACGTAAACTATTTATGTTGAGATTGAGTACCAGACTCTAATATAAGTTCAACCATTATATTAGAGTCTTTAGGAATTTCATATGGTTCTTTTACATAATATTCCTTTTTTTGACCATCAGTTGATTCTTCAACTCTTTTGAATGAAAAGCGCTTATAAAACTCAAACACGAGTGCATCTTTATAACCAGTGATATCGTAAAATTTTGGTGGCACAAGCTGTTCATTCACATTACATATAAATTGTTTGTTATCATGAGCAATATTACTCAACGTTACTAAAGGCTCAAGGAGAGGATTTATTCTTATCTGATAACCGACAAATTTATATGTTGGTTTGCCCTTTCGCTCAAGGATAAACCTGATATTCGCTATAGTTATGAAAAGCTCATCAAAGTACTTATATGTTTTTTTATCTTTATCATTTTCGTCAGTGAAATCTGCTATGGTAAAACTATAATATACATGCATTCGCGAGATATATTTTTTTTCCCATAAGTCTAAAAATTTTGCTTTCGATGGAATTACTTTTTGCGTGAATGTTCTACCATGGTCATCTTCCCAAACAAGCTCTGGTTTTCTTGATGTTGTGTCTGTTTCAGTGGTTTCTAATAACGCAGTGATGAAATCCAACACATCTCCTAGGGACATGTCATATTTATAATTCAAGGCATTTTTTTCTATACTACTGTATGAAGGTAATGTTATGATTGGTGATGTACCTTTTCTTAATACATTCAATTTATTTTCATTTGAATCATAGTAACAATCAACAAATTCTCTACTTGCCTCAGTCATTTTTTCCATAAGACCTTCATTCAACTCCTGTGTAGTCATGTTGGGTTTTATGTAATATCTCATGTCAAACCTTTTTTTCACTGATTTTGATGAATCTGTCATTTCTAATGGAATAGCAAGAAACTCAAAGTCTGGATGCTCAAGACTTATCTTTCTTATCTCAAGAGCTTTTGACGCAGGATATTCAATGAAGTCTCTCGGTAATTTATATGAGACTGTATTACCACTTATCGTGCCATCATTCATAACATGTTCATAGTATAATCCATCATATTTAGACATTTTATATGTAACTAAAAGATGGAGAAAGTTATTAATCAAGTAGATAAGATTCTTCATGATGGAGCACGTAAGAATAGTAAAGAACTAAACAATGCACTCATTATGCCATTTTCTGATGATTATCCATTTTGTACTAATGGTGTTTATTTCTACTGCGGTAAGATGGGTTCAGGTAAGACATATGGTGTTATTCGTCATATAATGATAACAGACCGCTTCACTAATACTCCATATTATGACTCAATAGTTATCTCAGCAACATCAGGAACAATGGATAAAACAGCGAAGACATTTATGAGTCAAGTTAAAGCACCAGTACTGAAAAAGGATGATAAAGAACTTATGCCTTATTTAATGAAGAACGTTAAGATGAAAGCAAAGTATTACGCTATTGTTGAGTTCGTTCAAAGTAAGTTCGAAAAAATTTCAGAGGAGATGGAACACATCTTAACAAAGCATCAACTAAGGAAACCTGATGGAAAGTTTGAGTATAAGAAGATTGCAATATATGTTGTAAAGAAGTTGAACAAATATCCTTTCACAAAGTATCCCAGTAATTCTCTATTAGTGTTAGACGATTATGGTGGTCATGACTTATTGAATGACCCACGTTCACCATTAGCGAACTTCATCACTAAGGTCAGACATTATAACTATACTGTTGTCATCATGTGTCAAACATGGAGACATATATGTTTAAACATTAAGAGACTATGCACTGACTTCGTTATCTTTCAAGGTTATTCTATGAGAGACTTTCAGTCAATGATTGAACAGTCAGGAGCAACAGAAGATTGGGAAGAGTTATGGAACAAATACAAAGAGCTACCAACACCTCGTTCATATATGGAAGTTCATATAGTTGCAGGAAAGACGGACTTTAAAGAAGTTAAGCAACAAAAGATGACATTATTTTAAGAAGAAATAAATGGGTTTTGGCGATTATGTTAAAGCTGGATGGGGTATGGTGAAAAAAAATCCTGGTCTTGTAATAGGTGCTGGATTTAACATTGCTAACAAACTTTTCCCTCAAGTTGGTCAAGTCGGTGGTGTTATCGGTAGTCTTGGTGAAAGAATTGCAAAAACTACATTAGGTGAAGATAATGCATTAACGAAGAATCTTAAAGCATTCAATAAAGCTCTTGGTGGTGACTTCAGTAGAGACAAGCCTGTTGAAACACCTATAGTTCAACCTCAACAAACTATTGACAACAATAAGTATAACGCATACATTGGAGGAGCTATTTGGAACAATCATAAGCCATTAGTTCAGTCAGTACGTGTACTATCAGACATGCCATGGATTAATGCTATTAGTGGCACTATACGCAGATAATATATTTTTATGAGGTTTAAATGAGTGAACAAGAGAGGAAACTCATTGATGAACGAGTTAAGAAATGGGAGAATGAACGTCCGATAATTCGTACCATAATTAGCGATCAAAAGTTCAAGCAGCATACATTTGATTTTTTGCGCGATATATATAATGATCTTGCTTTTGATTACAATGCTAGGCAATACTTTGAGAAAGAATATGTTCAAAAAGGTCGTATTAATTTCCCAATGAGAAGAGAAGGCTTTTTGATTACATCAACATATACAGCACGTGGTAGAGACCCTTTTACAGACGCGGTTCGTAACTTTAAAGCACGTTCTTCTATTAATGATGATCCAGATTTCTACATACCTTATTTTCGTCCACCTTCGCATCCTTTACGAACCAGTGATCCTGGATATGACGCTAAACGAAGATATATAGAGACGAAATTAGCTAAATACAAGGAACCTAAGGATCCAAGGACTGGAGAAGTAAAGGAATCACATGTCAAGATAAATAAGCTTTACAAAGTAGTTGAAGAATTGGAGAAACGATCTAATGAGATTAACGCTGAGAAGAAAAAGGAAGTACCAAATATGAACAAACTAGATAAGATGATTAAGGAATATAGAGGATTGGCGAATACATCGAGCGTTCTAATAAAGGAAGTAGAAAACACGACAAAGCTGCAGAAAATGATTCATGATGAATTACTGTTAGGTGAATTTTCTATAAAACAAAGACAGAGTAACTTAATGGGTGAGGCTTATTATTTGGAGAATTGGTATAATGAGAGGTTAAAACAAATGTCGACTCCAACACCAACTCCTACACCTACTCCTACAGTAGCTCCAACACCAACTCCCACTCCTGAACCAACAGTAGCTCCAACGCCAACTCCTACAGTAGCTCCAACGCCAACTCTGACACCAACTGCTCACGCAGGTCCTCCACCAATGTCGAGTAGTCATGGTATAACATTAAATAAACCAACACCTACACCAAAAATAACTCCTGTATCACATCCTAGTACAACTAACCCAGTATCTGATTCAAATCAAGCGGAAAGATCACAGGTTCTTAAAAGAGCTAATACACCAACTGCTTCCCCTATTAGAACACCAGAGCCAACTCCAAGAATCACAAAGGCGCCAACACCTTCACCGACTGTTGAACCAACTCCAGAACCAACAGTACCTCCAACTCCATCTCCAACTCCATCACCGACACCTACAAAAGCACCTACTCCATCTCCAACTCCGACTAAAGCTCCGACACCGTCTCCAACACCAACTAAAGCTCCAACACCGTCTCCAACTCCAGCTGAACCAACTGATGCAGAATCTATTCAAAATTGGTTAGACGAAGAAAAGCGAAAAGAAAAGGCTGCAATTGATGCTGCACTAGATAAAAACACACCACCACAGACACTTGGTGGTTACATGTTAAAGAAAGACAACATTCAAAGACAAGAACGTGCATTGAGTGTTGCCAGAGAACAAGCACAAGAAGAGAAGAAAATAGTTGAAGGAGAAGCTTCAAATAGAGGTGGTCCAGGAACTTACAAAGGATCAAACTATCCAGCAGAGAAAGCCTCGAGTGATAATGTTGTCTCAAGAGCTACTGATTTAGTTACCCATGGTATTCTAACTGGTGCAACAGCTGTTGGTAGTGCTATTGGAACCAGTGTTGACACTGTTGTTGATACTGTAAGAACTGTTACAAATCCTACACCTGAAGATAGGAAGGAAGAATTTCTTACTCTTAATACAAAGGCAAAACCAGGGATATGGATTGGTCGTGGAATTTTAAATGCTGGTAGTGCTATTGGCAATGGTGCTTCAGCGGTAGGGGGATGGCTCGGAAGAACAGCAACATCAACCGCAAATGGAATACTAACAGGTGCCAAATCACTTGGTAATTGGGCTGATGATAAGTATACAAAATATTATGAAGAAAAAGCTCGTAAGGCTAAGGAAGAAGCTGAACGAAAGGCGAAAGAAGAAGCTGAACGTAAAGAACTAGAGGAGCTTAAGAAGAAAGAAAAAGCTCGTAAGGCTAAGGAAGAAGCTGAACGAAAGGCGAAAGAAGAAGCTGAACGTAAAGAACTAGAGGAGCTTAAGAAGAAAGAAAAAGCTCGTAAGGCTAAGGAAGAAGCTGAACGAAAGGCGAAAGAAGAAGCTGAACGTAAAGAACTAGAGGAGCTTAAGAAGAAAGAAAAAGCTCGTAAGGCTAAGGAAGAAGCTGAACGAAAGGCGAAAGAAGAAGCTGAACGTAAAGAACTAGAGGAACTTAAGAAGAAAGAAAAAGCTCGTAAGGCTAAGGAAGAAGCAGATAGAAAGGCGAAAGAAGAAGCAGATAGAAAGGCTAAGGAAGAAGCTGATAGAAAGGCGAAAGCAGCAACACCATCGCCAACTCCATCTCCTTCACCATCTCCATCTCCTTCACCATCACCAACTCCATCGCCATCTCCATCTCCTTCACCATCAATAGCGGCTCCTGTGAGACAATTTGGTGCATGGGGTGCTGATTTAGTCAAAGATGCTGCACAAGGAATTGGAAAGGAACTGAAGAACACAACATTAGGTACAATAGAGCGTTTTGGTAATCTTACGGATTACACAATTAGATCAGCTGCTAATCTTTTATATAACCAGACTACTGATAACGGTACTGATGAATTGGCTGTAAACGGACTAGCATCAATTAAGAAATCAGCAGAAGATAAATACGATGAATGGAAAAAGAATATTAAGGGTGAATATAATAAGTATGCATATCCTGAAGAACATATGAAGTTAGAGCTTACCAGACTAAGATCAAAATATGGTAATGAAACAACAAATACTACAACGCAAACGACGAAAGCTGACAGAAAGATTGATGACACTCCTACTCCAACTCCTGCAATGGCGAACATCACAACAATTGCTCCAAGAGTTCCAACAGGAGAAGGTATATCAGGAAATGTTTCAACTACTCATAACATTACTGAAGCAGCTAATGTTTCAGCAGTTGAGCAACCTGTTGTTAATGTAACTCAGGAAAACGCTACTGAAACATCAACACCAAGACAGGATGTAAATAATGAACGTCCAGAAGTTAAGGAGGTTGCAAAAGCATACCTGGAGAAAAATACTACACAAGTTCTTGAAGCAGAAAAGCATCTCAATTCAGACAAAACACCATCTCCAACTCCTGAAGCATCAGTTCCTCCAGCAATTGGTGGAAATATACCTTCAGTATCACCATGGCAGAAATTTTATGGATTGTTTAAAGGAGCGAATAAGGTAATGGATGCTGCTGAGAATCTCCAAAAGTTCAAGAATGAAGTCGCAACTGGTGCAAAGGAAATAGAAGAGAATGATAAACAAGCTGCTGAATTAGCTAAACAACAAGCTGAAGCAACTAAACAAGCAGCAGCTCCTAAACAATCTATATCTAAGTCTCAAAGACAAGGTCCTGACCCAAGTGCTAAAGTCAAACAGAATCCAACACCACCTGCAGCAGAGAAGTCCAAGAAGGACAAGGACAAGAAGAAGGATAAATCAAAGAAGGACAAGGACAAGAAGAAGGATAAATCAAAGAAGGACAAGGCAAGAAGATAAGGATAAGAAAAAATCGTCAAAAGATAAAAAACATAAAAATTTATCCAGTAAGAAATGAGTCAAGTCATTAA